CAAGATTTATCTAGGCAATTTGTTTAAAATGTACATCTCAGGAGTAACTGGGTGGCTTCGTTGGTTAAGCGTCCGATTTCAGCTCAGGTCATGATCTCACAGTTTGTGAGTTCAAGCCCCACAATAGACTCTGTGCTGACTCAGAACCTGGAGCCTGCTTCAGACTGTGTCTCGTTCTCTCTCTATGCCCTCTCTTGCTTGTACTGTCTTTCTCTCTCTCTCAAACATAAACATTAAAAAAAAAAATTTTTTAATGCACATCTCAATCCTCATCCTAGACCTACATACCCTGATATGAACATTTTACAAATGCTCTCCAGGTGATTACCAGGCACACACTTAACCACTAGTTAAGGCCCAGTTCAAATGCCACCTCCTCTCTGATGCTTCTATTGATCTAACGGATGGACACAGTCCCTTCTTCACACCTCCCAAAGCTCCATCTCAAGAGTGGTACTTATGTTACCATGCTCTAATTATATAGTCTCATCTTCCCTACTACATGCTAAGTTTTACAGGGAGAGGTCACATCTTAATGGTGTTCGTGTCCTCCTCTTTGGGAGGCACAGTGCCTTACACACAAAAGATGCTAAGTAGACGAACGGCAAGTCTGCCTGTACATAATACTATGCCTGGTACAGACACACATCTTGCTTGAATCCTCTAAAAGTTCTCCAGCTGAGATTAATAACACTGAATGTCACAAGTGGTGCAGAGGCTTCAGAGATTGGCTACCAAGACAGTAATAGACTGGAGATAGGTATTTATTCACATAGGAAAAGAAGCACTGGGTATCCTACTTGGACATACAAGCAAAGTTCATAAAGTACACAACTCCTTGCAAACAGAAATCTAAATTGTTCCGGGACACACATTTCAAATACTCATATTTCTAGCATTCCATCCCGAATGTAATCAGGACAAGGTCTTGGCACAATCTTTTTCAATCTCTTCTTCCCCGCCGTTCTGCCTGCCATACCCCTGTTACAAATACTTACCACACAGTATTGTAATCATTTGTATGTCTGTGTAGGCTATGCTATTCCCAAAGGAAGAACAATGCTTATTTTATTTTTCTACAGTCTTAGAAGGAATTCAAGAGAAATTTGACAAATCAACAACAACAACAAATGATTGTTAACACTGGAAACTGGGAGCCTGGGTGGCTTAGTCAGTTTAGCATCCAACTCTTGGTTTCAGCTCAGATAATCTCACTGTTTGTGAGTTCCAGACCTGCATCAGTCTCTGAGATGACAGTGTAGAGCCTACTTGGGATTCTCTCTCTCTCCCTCTCTGTCAAAAATAAATAAACTTAAAAAAAAAAAAAAGAAACTGTTCATGTACATATTTACAAGGTTTTCCCAAAAGAGCCCACTTTTAAATTTTGAAAAGACATGAAGAAAGAGATTCCATCTTTTAAATGTTATATTCCACTACAGAGCTTTTTCTATCCTCGGGCCTATGTACAATCTTCTAAATTTCACAGGGGCTCAATAAATGGTAAATTCCTTCCTGGTACAGTGACAGCCTACAGTCACCCTGGTGATGATTTTAGATGTTTGTGCTTTGTATATTACCTGAAAAGACATCAGCAGCCTGAGTCAACCCAATGGGAAATGAGGGTGTGGTATTTGGGGACATGACTCAGTACTGTCCTCAAAGAAAAACCAATCAAATCATGACAATTGTCACCACCCACATCACGATTACTAAATCTAAGAAAACTGAAAGCAATGATAAAGACACTAAAAAATAAAGAAGAAATAAAGTAAAATTTTATAATCTATGTGAAAAAGCCTTATCTTACTCCGGGGGGGCGGGGGGGGAACTCCACATATATTCCATAGTCAACTTAAATGTGTAATAGAGTATTCACAGACTGTGCATATTAGCAATCTAATTCCCTGCTTTTAATTAAATGCACTCTATCATAGGAGATAACATACATGGTGGCGTAGCCCTTCTTTAGGGGTAACAAATAATTACCGACCAAAGAGAGTTCTGTTTGCTGTTATTTGTTTCATTTGGTTTCAGTTCTTCATTCTAAGTGTGAAAGAATAGTTTATTGGAAATGGATTTCTAGCCATTTTGAAATCATGCAGTTTATTATCTGGATAGCACAGCATGGTCCTTTCCTCAGGCTCTATCAATGGGGATCATACCAGCATCTACATGGGAGCCTTGTTATCAAGACTATATGAAAGAAAGGCTCAGAAGCATTGATGAGATGTGGTGAGATGCTGGCCTACAGGAAGGGCTCAAGTGTGGCTGCTAATCTCACTGTCCAGTCCCGGTTTCTTTGTTATCCAGTTACTGTAGTACTTACCTGTGCTGCTGTGAGATCTTTAAAGGAGATATATAACCACCAATGTTAGTGTTTCTTGGAAGTTCTATTTTAAAAGGCAGGGGAGTGCAGGGGAGGGAAGGAAATGTAGGCGAGAAGATGGAAGGAACAGCAAAATGGAACCAGAGGACTGAAGTGTGCAGTCAACCTTTCTCTAGACCACGGAACTCAGCAGACAGAAAATTAGCTGTTCTTACAAATAAAGCCTGCGGTTGATGACTGCCAGGCACACAGTTTAAAGATTTTTAACTACAGATGTCAAAACACATCCGAGTCTGAGAACACAGAGCAGAACTTTGTCACAATAACTTGAAGTTCAAATAGCACAGCCCACACAGAATTTCTTTTACAAAATCGTCTCTTCTTCCTTTTCGTTAGTCTCCCTTACTTGCAAGATATTTCATTTAAAATTCATCTGCACAATTTTCCACCAACTAAAAGCACACCTTACCACAACTCTGAATCTCTTAAATATGTTTGCATCTTAGATATCCTGGATTTTTTAATTTTTTTTCTTTCACTTTGCCATTTGCATCAAGAACATTTGACACTGCTGATCTAACTGTGGAACAGCAGTCCCATTAATGCACAATAATGACTTCGAAACCTGTTTCAGATAACTGTATTTGGCCAATTACTGTGTGAATAAACCTCATAAAAACCCATCAAGGAAGCACCATTCCCAGCAACAACTGACATGTTAAGTTGACCATCCCCTGACCAGCTTTCTCAGTCCTGGCCCCTGATAATACATGCTTCTGGGAGGAAGCCTGGGATTCCTTCAAATCTTCTAAGAAACAGAACAAAACAAACAAAAATACCCCAGAAGTATTTGAAGATAGCTCCTGCTCAAGAAGAGATTAAATCTTACATATTTGATCCTAATTTTTTGTGTTTTCTACTAAGAAGAATATACATGTATTGGGCTGATTTTCTGGTGTCTCTTACTATTGTTTATTGTCTTTTTCCCTCTAAAATCACTCAGACTAGAATCCTGGATACTGAGATGACTAAGATCAAAGAGGTAATCTAGTTCCAATTAATGAGAAATCATTTCTGTGATGTGCAGGACAGCCTCTGTTCAAATATTTCCTTTTTAAGGGGGCTCTGTTGCTAAATGGCTCTAACCATTTAAAAAAAAATTAAAAAACAAAATCAGCAATTAATTTTAGTCAGCATGCCAGACCTGGTACTAATAAGCACATTACATACATCACCTAGATGAATCCTCATAATGAAACTTTGAGTGAGGTATCATTGTGCCCATTTTAGCTACGAGAAAACTAAGACTCACAGGGGTTTAAGCAACTTGCCTGAAGTTGACACAGCTGTCAACCAACAGAAAACCTAAGACAGACATCCAGCCCCAAGCCTCACAACTTTTATACACAGCCCTTAACATGCAACCTCTCTGTCCTTCTTCTCTAGGTCAGCTCTTCAAATACTAGAAAACTATCCAAGAAGCATTTGGCCCCATGCTAGGCTTTTCCCCCATGCTTTCCTTGACGGAAAGGAGAGGAATCTGTGAGCTGAGTCCAGGCCCCTGCAGACTGAGGTTACCTAGGAGTTAAGAAGGGAAGGCTAGGCCTCCAGTCTCCCAAGTTGGATACCACAAATCTTGCACTTGACTGCCACCCCATTTCTTCTGTCTCACACCATCCTTATTCTCTAATTCCATGACCTTACCTGTGGTCTCTCCACATTTCTCAGCCACCAACAGGGCCTGCTCTTCTCCATTCTGCTGCACGAGGCCCTGTGACCAACCCTGAACCAGAGCCACTGCCCTCCAAGGCAAGAGTAAATGCCCCACTATGGGAAGGGGGGAGGGGTGCAGTGCAATCCACATCGGTTCCCCTCCACTTACTGCTTACACAGTGAGCTCCTGCTCAAATGCCCAGTGCCACCAACTTGCTATGGAAGATTTATACTCTCAAAAAATATTGTTTAATTATACTCAGATAGTGATTAAAAAAAAAAAACAGCTCTGAAATTAAGTTTAGAGACTCTCATTTTTACTAAGCAATGGTCCTGTAGAGAAGAGCTGTATAGATCCTTTCCAAGTACCTACAGATAGGTAGAATGTAATGAGAGGCCTAATCTTCCCACTTACCCTCAGTCACATGGCACTGCCAGCACTGAGGGCAGCTAACAACTACACATTATAGGCCCAGGTAGTTTTACATTGTATCCGGTTGCATTTATGAAATATCTTGAATTTGGGGCCCTATTATAAATGAAATAAGAACAAAAAAGGATTATACTTTGGCCTTGGTTCTTAATAGTCTATATTTGTTTCTTAAACAGTTTGGAAAACAAACTGCACTCATGTGGTAGGGATCAAATGCCTAGGGACAACTGCAAAGCAACATATCAACAAATATGAATCTATGAAGTACAAAGCCAACACTTCAGTGCCAACAAGGAAGATCTCCAAAATAAGGAAGTCTTTGCAAAATTAGATGTGAGAAGTGAAGTTCTTCCAGAGTTAAGTAGGGACAGAGTTAAGGGACAAGTATAGGGGCAACAGGAAGAGAGAGAGATGGTGAGGCTGTCCTTACAAGGGCACATAAATGCATACGAAAATAAATACACAAATGAAGGAGAAAAGAGTCTTTTTCAAGAGAGCCTACAAATAAAATGTTGGATTCTTTTCTACCTGAATTTACCAGTTGCTGTTCCATCACCCCACAGCCAAGAACTTCTAGCCATTCTCCGTGGAAGTTGATCTCCATCTCAAAGGAAGGATGAGTAAAAGGGAAGTAGCAGTCTACCCACCTAATGTCCAGTCCTGCAAAGATGCCAAATAAAAACAGACAGTGTTAAAGGCAGTCTATCCTTCTTTATGACCAAGGCTGCTCTTCAGCTAATGACAACAATTACTACTTTCTGAGTAAAATAAATAGCAAACAAACTCATTTGCAACACGTTAGGAGGAGGCAATAAATCTTAAAACTTGTGAAAAACTGGGCATGTCTTGCTCAATATGAAAAACACTTTGTGCAGTTCCAGGACCCTCTAAAAGCAAATCAATCACTTGTCAAATCCCTGCAAACAGCTGGCAGAGGGAAAAAATTAGGTCAAGATCAGGGGAAAGCAGGTAATTCTTCTAGTTCTGTAAGTGAAAATGGTATCTTTTCAGAGGTAAAGAAAAAAAAGTTTTACTATATATCCTGCAAACTTACTTATCAACAGTATGACTACTTTTGGATAAACTAATCAACTTTCTCTTCCATAAGTATATATATAGATATATAGATATATATATTAATTTTTTAAATTAAGTTTATAAGAACTAATAAAAAGTTAAGTAAGATCTATCAGCAAAATTTAGGCAAAACATCTAGAAAGCCAAAACATTTTTCCTACAGAGGGTGACAAATGTTCATACATCTAAACAAACAAGTACAGGCTAAATACGGGAATACATTTCTCAAAAAGCAATCGTGAACATGGCACTCATAAACAAGGACATTATTAATGGACAAAAGAAAAGACTAATGAATTAAAAACAAATCTTGCAAAGAGTAGAAGTCACTAAACACACAAAAAACAGATGAGAAGTTCCCCTGGTAGCCAGATGCTCACCATGAGGAAAAAAGAAAAGTGGCATTGGGCAAAGCATCTACAGTCTCTTGCCTGGGCTCCCTTCCCTTTATGCAATGATCTTTGTCTTCTTCTTTAAGCAATACTCCTGATTCCATTTCTCCACAGTAGAATGACCTCCTATGAATTCAAAACACTGTCTTTTCTCACTCAACACTATATTTTAAACCTTGTGGGAATCAGAATGTGAAATGAATAAAAATAATAACAAATATTGCTTCCATTTATGGACGACTTATTATGCCTCTGTCATCCCACTTCATAGGTAGGAAAAAAACAATCAGAAAGGTCAAGTGTCTGTCCAAAGGCACACAGCTAGCAGATGACTAGGCCAAACCGAGGTCTGCCCAACTTCAAAACTCCTGCTCTTGACAAATAAAATAAAATTCCCTGCCCATCAAAAAAAGACAGTTTAAGAATCAAAACAGATGGGAACGGAAGTATATAAAACATGGGGACCTTCCCTATGCCCAGACAACAAAAGGCAAGGTAGGCTTTTCTTTCATGTTCTGTTTTAGTTGCCTTTATTTTCTTACCTACCTGCTGTCTATGGCAGGTGACAACTAATTTCTGTTACACCAGTAATACAACATTCCCTGCTCTTGTGATACACATGGTATAATAAACAAACGTTACACTGCACATATATATGGCGCACAATTTGACATATGTTCACAATGTCTACATCCATGAAACTGTCACCACGATCAACATAAGGAACATGTGCATCACCCCCCAAGTTTCCTAGTGTGCTCCTGTAACCCTCCCCAGTGCCTGCTGCCATACCTCTTCTCCTCACCCCCACATCCCCAGGCAGCTGCAGATCTCCTTCTGTCCCTACAAAACAATTTGCCTTTCCTAGAATTTTATAACAATAGAATCATATATATCACGTACTTTTTTTCATATGGTTTCTTTCACTCAGAAGAAGGATTTTCAGATTCACCCATGGTGCATATATCAACAGTTCTTTCCTTCTTATCACTGAATAGAGTTCACCAACAGATTTTCTAACCAAGAATAAAAGTTGGTCCTGTTGCAGCCACTGGGGAAGTGTCCTCAGGTCTTCTAAGTAGTTCAGACTTCTCTGGATGGAAGCTCCTACGTGCAGAGCAGGTGCTCATTCACCATTATGTTCTGAGAAGAAGGTATCAGGACACCTGTGTGTTTGTCCACTTTGAGACCAACCATCCCCTACCACACTTTTACTGAAAAGCTGCAGACGCAGTCCCGCTGACAAACTGAGACCCGTGAAGCACTGGGACACAGAACTGAGTGCAGACAGACAGGCAGAGAAACAATTTTTATCATTCTTTTTTTGTAGCTCCTAGAAGATAAGCACAAATCACCCAGTGAAAACAGCTTAGAAAAAAGATTTTGTTTATATGGCTTGGATCAAATTTTACCAAAAGCAAAATGGCTACTCAGGGTTAACATGACTCTACCATTACACATTTAGACATCACCTGGAGCACAGTTAGGTGAGGTCTCCGTAAATTAATTTTTCTTGTGTGTCCTTATTTTACTCTTTTGGACAAGCTAAATGCATAGAATTTAGCTTATATAGCTTTATATCTCACCCCTATAAAACCTTACGCTTCCCCTAGAGAAAAAGAATATTGAAGACGTTACTGAGCCCTGAAAACAATCACAAGTGTTGATTAAAGTAATGCTACTATTAATTTTTATGAAACCCAGACGAAATCCCTACTGCATAAAGTCTATGGGAAGCTCAGCTTGCATAGATAGGACCCAACACACCCTCTGAGCTGCTGGTAGGAGTAGTGTCAACAGAGCACAAGGAAGGAACTGAAAAGTGATGGAAGGATCTAGCCCCTTCTCCAGGAGACTTCTGTTACTGAAGGACTTTGACCACTTCTAGAAGTAGAAAAATTTATAACTTTGGATTGAAATTTTTTAATGTTGAATAAATTCTTAAGATAAAATGTCCACATGTTGGGCATATGTTGCATCAACCCTTGCTCTTTTTTCATTGATGACTTCAGTCACTGTGGCCCTGGGTTCCTTCTTGCTCAGCCCTGGGTTCCTTCTTGCTCAGTCATCCAACAGGCATCTGTCAGGAGCAATCACAGTAATCACTCCACCCTGAAAACTACACCCAGCAAAGCATGAAAAAGGCAGGGAAGTTGGCCAAAGGTTTTCAGAATACATGAAGATGATTAATATTACTCATTTGTGGAGCAGATTCCATTGATGATAATATCACAAAAACTAAGACAGAAAACATAGGTTGGCAAAAGTTATGTCCAATGGCACTAGAGCATTTTTAATCCTTTCCAACTCCTCAGATCCTGTTAAAAGTTTCCTTTGTAAATCTATATGACCTTGCAAAGAATGCCAAATCCATAAACCGTTTACCCCCTTTGTTCCACTACTTTAAAGACTTCAGTTCTGAAATTCTGCTTCTTTCACATCAATAGGTAAAAGCCAAAGTCTATGAAACCCCAGTTTTAAGAAACCTGCATCTCTACTTCAAACAAAAATGGTCTTTATTTGAAAGTCAATTATATTAGTTAATGTGTAATTTTTGCCAAAACACCATATTCTTCTATATATATTCTTTAAATGTTTATTTTTAAGGTGGGGGGGATTCAGAGAGAGAGAGAAAGAGGGAGACAGAGGATCCAAAGCAGGTTCTGTGCTGTCAGCGCAAAGCCCAATGTGGGGCTCAAATTCACAAACTGAGATCATGACCTGAGCCAGAGTTGGAAGCTTAACTGACTGAGCTAGGCAGGTGCTTCCTTTTATATACTGTAACAATTCCAGTTACACTGACACATTAACAGTACTTTTTTTTTTTTTTTAACCACTCATACTGGAATCATTTAAAAATACACTTTCAGGGCATCTGGGTGGCTCAGTCAGTTAAGCGTCGACTTCAGCTCAGGGCAGGATTTCACAGTTTGTGAGTTCAAGCCCCATATCGGGCTCTGTGCTGACAGGTCAGAGCCTGGAGCCTGCTTTGGATTCCATGTCTCCCTCTCTCTCTGCCCCTCCCCTGTGTGTTCACTCACTCTCTCTCTCTCTCAAAATAAACAAACACTTAAAAAAAAGACACTTTCTTCTTGTTTTCTCCCTATAACCTCAAAATTATAGTAAGGATTGGGGTGCCTACATGGCTCAGTTGGTCAAGTATTCAACTTGTGATTTCACCTTAGGTCATGATCTGGCAGTTCGTGAGTTCAAGCCCCCCATCATACTGTGCACTAGGGATTCTCTTTCCCTCTTTCTCTCTGTCCATCCCACACCCTCTCCTTCTCAAAATAAATGAACATTAAAGAAAAGAAAGAATTATAGTGAAAAATTAATCCTATAATTATAGGATTATTATATTGGGTTGAAAAGGCATCTTGACATACAGCTTGTATTAAAAGATGTGATAATGAATAACTGGCTAAAAACTTACAGAGCATGGTTTATTTCACATGCCAAGTACCAGGAGTCAATTAAAAAAATTCACTAAAAACTATATATATTCACTAAAAACTATTAATATAAACATATTAATACAGTAAAATGTTTTGTAAACATGTCCAAATCATGTCCAAATGAATGCAAATCATTCATTAAATCTCTTCTTGGGGTGACAGAGGCAAATTATACACACATGTATTATTTATTTAATGGGAAATAATTGCAAAGTTTTTTCTTACCTTTGTTTTTTGTTTGCTTAGTTTGTTGGTTGCTTCATTTAGACCATAATTCACTAAACCATATTTATAAAGGAAGCTCAGAGCTTTTTAAAAATTGCCTTAGAACTCTGAGACTAGAGCAACTGTCAAAAGTTATATACCTTAATTTTGAGCTGAGAGTCAAATAAAATAAAGAACATCTTAGAATAAACAAAACCCCATTCAAGTCTCAGATTTCTACCTATTCCTGTGAAACAGTGGGCAGGTTAATTAATCTCTCTGAGCCCCAGCTGCCTCTTCTCCCCACCATGTATGACGACATCTATTTCAACAGTGGTCATAAATAAAGACCCTATAGAGGCCCAGGTTTTCTCAAAGGCAGAGAGAGATCCTCTTTGGAGGTCTGGGCAGTCACTCTGCCTTCTCTCCTAAATGAGGATGCTGGACTTTGTTCAAGAATGAAGACAGCCCAAAGTCTAAAAGCATCTCCTCAACTGGGACTGCAGAAATGATTAGTGAACATTCCTTCGGC